TGGCGCTCGGCGACGGGTTCCCGCCGCTGCCCGCCCGCCAGGCCGCCGAGGACACCCAAGCTCCAGTCCCGCCTGGCCGAGTGGGCGTTGCTCCTGGGCTCGGCGCTGCGGAGCTGGAGCAGGCGATCTGCCTCCTCCGCAAGGCGGGGAACAAGCAGCTCGCCGAGCTGCAACAGAAAGGAGCTGCACCCGCGCTGCGCCCCAGGGCCCTCGGCGCAGCAGCGCGCCCAGGAGGCCGACGGCCGCCGCAGGCGCTGCGAGCAGCGGCTCAGTCGCGAGATCGCGTTCGCCGGGAAGCTCCAGGGCCAGCTCACCAACCAGCAGCAGATTGTCGCCACCGCGTTGCAGGACCTCGACCGTGCGGAACTGGACTACAAGGCCGCGGTCGCGGAGATGCACGCGCAGGCCGTGGGCCAGGAGCAGCAGTCGAGATATGAACAGGATCAGAACACTTTCAAGAATGTGTGCACCTCGTTGGAGGACATCCTCGATGGGAGCCTGTCGTCGTTGGAAGCTGCTTGCCATGATCTGTTCGGGCTTGGTGATTGCTGCAGCCTCACGGACGAGGAGGAAGAGGGGACAGAGCGGCGCACGACGGCGCTCACCAAAGGCATCCAGAAAATCGGCAGCTCTCTTTTCGGCAAGCTCAGGAGTAATACATAATCCGCTCGGAAACAGCATTTGGATATGCTCCGGCGTTTCGAGAAGAAGCGCAAGTGTAATGACGGTGGGGCCTCGCACGCTCCCGTAGAGACTCCGCCCAAGGCTGCAGCGGCTCAGTGGGAGCCTTCAGCCACCAGTGGGCCTGGCCTTGGCTCTTCTGCCGCTAGTTAACCCTCCTGTTGGCTCAGCCTCCTCTGCTTCTCTCCGCGAAAAGGGTCCAGCTGTTGCCGGCGTCCAAGGGAGGAGGCAAGGCATCAGGTCCGCCAGCCGCAGGCGACGCTGCAGAGGGGCAGCCTCGAGTTTAGTACGCTACATCCCTGTGATGGGCCCTTCTGTGCTTCGCAGGCGTCGTTAGGTAACCGCAGTTGGCCGTCTCACGATTTTGGTTTTCCAACAAGTTTTTGTCTTGTGAGTTTTGGCAAAGACGGGCCTTCGGTCCCCCCTCCCCTTGCACAGGAACCGCTTTTCTTGTGTACAGAAGCAGTGAGCTTGACATCCGTTTCTTCCGTGAAGTCGTGGCTACTTTTGACATCGGCGTCAGTATTGCTGGTGCAGGGGCACCGCCTGGTCACCCAGGACGCGATCAACGATGCTCGCAGGTGGGCGAAGCGTCAAGGGTGAATCGCAGTTTTGACTCTCGCCCTCCCTACAGAGGGGGGTCCTCAGGAGGTGTTGGCGTCCTGGTCCGCGATATTTTCCTGAACATCAAGACCCTTCTATTGTCCCAGGGTCCATTGGAATTGCGGTGCGCCTACCCAGAGACGCGCGCTCGGCGTTTCTCTGCAGCTGCTACTTGCACCATTGCCAGAGCCTCTCAGAGGACAGCGTCGCCATCATGGGTCGGGTCGCCTCGCTCGCCGAGTCAATTGGGGAGCCTCGCTCGCCGAATCAATATGGCCCCGCAGTTGTTCGAAGCTTCGGGGCCGCGCCCAGGCTGAATGGGCAAGTGGTTTTCGCGGGAGATGCCTTGGGCATTTGCGCTGGTATTGGTGGGCTTGAGATCTACGACTATTCCGTGATTGCGGGAGGCCTTCGTAAGGCCATTGAGAAGGTGGAAACTGTTCCAGAAGCGTCTACATCGCCACGTTCGCCTGTTTGGTTTCATTGCGCGCCGATTTTGCTACTTGACAAGGGGCTTGCCTTCCGTCGGCCGCCACCGCTGCCCGTGGGCGACGTCTTCGGCCCTGCTCCTGCCCCGCCTGAAGCATGGCGAGCCATCTCCAAGCAGGCCGAGAGCGTTTCCATGTTGGTGAAAGCAGGCGAGGCCGCGCCGCTGGAGAGCGCGCTCGTTTCTTCGGCACGGCTGAGGAGGATTTGACGGCCGCCCAACAGGTTGATCTCCAGCGCGCGGGGTCCCGAGGCAAGATGCCTCCCATCTGCTGGGTTCCGCTCTCCGAGCCGACTCAGCCCGTGCACTCCTCAGGTCCAGTGCGCGCAGCTAAGTGGATGTCCGCCAAGTGTCGCACCTTCCTGCAGATCGCCGCGACAGATCCCGAATCGCAGCGCTGCAACGATATTCTGAGTCTGGGCCATCAGCCCTCCGCGCGTGTGGCCAAGCACTTGGGAGGCTTCTGGGTTCAGCTCACGGAGGCGATGGTTTCATGGTTTCGGGGCCCGCGTTCGATTGGGGGAAGGGCAATGCCGTGCTCGCTCGGATGGGCGACGCGCTCCGGGGTGTCATCGCCGCCAGTCGGGCTCGGTGTTGCCAGGATTGCAGATTTTTTATTTTGGACAGGATCGGTACAGGATGTAGGAAGGCGCATTCGGTCATCAAGGGCTCAGAGCCATGGAAGCCTACGACTACGCTGTACTCCGAAGGAAGTGTTTGTGCAGTGCC